TTATAGTTTGGTTTTTTCATGGTTAACCCTTTCCCTGCATTTGCACAATATATGGTACATTTAATTTTATGTAATATTGGAAGCGTGCTACTAAAAATCTTATTAATATTTTTGAAAACAAATTAAAGCATCAAAAGTTTGGTTAACGTAAACAAAAGTGTGCTTAATATTACCAAATCATTGTTGAAAACATCAGCCAAGGCATTGCTAATATTAACCAAAGATTGCGTTGATTCCTTTTCAAGTTTGAATTCGGTAATATCAATAAATAGTTGGCTGATTTTTTGCTCAGTGTATGTATGTTGGTGCAGCATAAAATCAACTTTAGGCCGCCATACCCGGCTAGTGGCGTCAACGATAGTTTGAAGTGCATTTAGTTGCCACCGAACCGATTTGGCTAAAAAGTTTCCTGCCATTACATGCATTTTTACAAAAGAAAAATGAAACTTTCAATAAATCATTTGTACGCAATCTGCATTATGCGCTGTCACAGAGTGTTGCTAGTGTGCTCATATAGAGGCAGCGAGAGAGAGAGAGAGAGAGAACGCGATAGGAAGACTGGGCTAGAATGAAGTCAGAGAACGCAGCGGGTGGGGGAAAATGCATTTGGTGATGTTTAAAGTATGGGCACTAGGGCGGGTTGATTTGTATGGCTGAAAAAAAAAAATAAAAATCGTATAGCAAAAGCGTAATCTACATTAAATTCTAAGAAAATTCTCTGAAGAAACCATGGGTCTAAAATAAAACCCTAATCCGCGCCTCTCGACTTGAAAATTTTTTTCCATTACACTGGTTCGTTTGTTTGCTCCATTTCAATGAGCTTCCATTTCGGCATTTATTCAATGTTATGGAAATGTCAACCACAAGTGGACCACGTACTTCTAGTGGAACATTAACGAAATTAATTGAAACCTGCAAACAATTTACTGAAAAATTGCTGAAATATTGTTTGAGTGAAAACACTTTTTTAGTTTGTTTTTATTTGCATTATAAAATAAGAATTGTTTATCGAAACAAAAGAAGGTTATTTTATAAATACTGAAAACTATTTTTTGAGTGCAATGTTTTTTGTTTTGCATTTCCAATCTTTATTAAATTATGAAAGAAAATTTTATTTATCTATGTTCCTTATAAAAATATTAAATATAAAATTATATACAAACTTTTTTACTTGGGTGAATATTTTTTTTAATGAAAAAAATAATTTTGAGTGTAGAAAAAATATAAAGTGCAAAAGAACAATTTTATTCAGAAAATTCGATTTCTTTTTGGAAAAACCTATTTTTTCTAACATTTATTTTTTTGGCAAAGGCGGCCATATAAATTTTCAAGTCGAGAGGCGCGGATTAGGATTTATTTTAGATACATGGTTTCTTCGGAGAATTTTCTTAGAATTCTATGTAGTTTTTGCTATAAAAAAAAAAAAAAAAACAACCCGCCCTAATGGGCACCCATGTCGCTTACGACGAACAAACAGACTCAAACTTTTAAACATGTTGTGTGCTGAAACCACTGTCACTTGCTCGCACTGCCTGCCGATCGTCCCACTCTCTGTATTATGCTTCAACAAATGTCGACTCACAGCAAAATTTGTCATGAAGGAAAATACAATTTTCTGTCATAAGTCTGCCGTCCGGAGTGCAACTCTATTACGTGCCCCATACATTCCTTCTACTCACTTCATACAGCTTTGCAGTTTTTTCACTCCTCTGTGTACATACATACATATGTACATGTGTACTTTCGTAATTCCTCAACTCCTCTAATATTTCTAACAATTCACAATCTAGTTTATTTTTTTTTTGTTTGTTTGATTTCCTAGTTCCAATTCAGCAACGAATTGGAAAGCTAGAAAATATGAACTTAAGTACATTGGCAATAAATCGGTAAGGGGCGGAAATTATGTTCTGCGAAATTGCACTTCCTTCTTTTCAATTTTTTGAGTGCATTGCAGGGAGTTCATGCACATTAGAAAGAAGAAAGTAGAAAAAGCAGTAAAAAAGATAGGAAAGTTGATCGTATGACAAGTAGCGCAAAATTTTGTTCCACTGCAGCTGTGCCACTGACTCCAGCGATGGCGGCGGCGATGCCATATTTACGAGACAGCAGAATTCAATATTTCATGCATCAAATATTATGACAATTTGCAATAACTCTGCGTCTTTGACAAACACATACCAATGTACATACATACATGTGCATATGTACGTACATATTTACATTTTTATGCGAGACATATTTAGTAGTTGCAAACGCAGGATGCCATGGCTGTTGGCATAACAGCTGTTGGAGCATTTGAAAGGGTACACTGAGAAGCTCTGCGCAGCAGTGATATTAACCGACGATGCCTGAAGGATATCACCAGTTAACGTTAGATGTATACTTTATAAAGTCGCTTTAAAAATGTGTTTAGTTTTCATTACTATGTCCATTTCAATATTATGAACGCTCGAAAATATAAACCTTTGGATGACGTTAATTTGTGTTATTAAAAGCAAATGGGCAAAACGAATGAATTTGACAAACAAAATTTTAATTTTAATAAACTCGCATGCTATTGATCTTATTGACGTGATTTCTTTACCCCTGCGTCGACTTTTAAAGGAAGATCGGGCTATCGATTACCGCAAGTTTGTGTCTCGAAGTCAAAATTAAGTATAGACATACCCGTACACTCTCGTTAGGTATCCTAAAATAAACGCAAAACTAATTAAAAGCTTAAACCGTAACTTAGCAAAATTTTCGTGGTCCACTCGACGTGGTCCCTACTCAGCTTAAAGTTCACTGAGAGTAGGAACCGTTTTTTGACAAATAGGAGCGGCATTGCTTCTTTAGATTTTTAGAAAATGCACTGAAAATTATGAAACTAATGAAGAAAGCTTTTCGTGCAAGCTTTTAAACTTCAATTTTCTTATTTTCGTGAAGTAGTTGTATTAGTACTTTTTTGCCAATGAATGTTATAAAAAGGAATACAAATGCGAGAAAAACAATATCATTTAAAAAAACCACACGAAGCAATCAATACACTTACGAAACTCTAGGCCAAATATAGTAAGACTGCGTTTTAGCATTTTCGTGTGTTGTAGGATTTTTTTTTAAAGAACTTTTTAAATTTACAGGGATTATTAAATATGATTAAAAAATATTTAGGCAATGTAAATGAAAGAAAAATTGAGTAAAATTTAGAAGCATTAAAATTGTTTCGTTCGCAAGGACGAATAGGTATTGAAAATGCTCTTTTAATTAATATTGTAACTTTCTTTCCTTTTCTTTCCTATTTCTCGTCTAAAAATCATTGTAAATGTCAATTTTGAGTGAATAAGCTTCAGTAAAGGGCAGCGGTCTACCGAATCCGGTTCTTATTTTTTACATGGTATCCGGAATTCGGTTATCCGGCATATCTATCTCTATCTGGCACATCTCTAATATAAATATGTATTCAGATACGTATAACAATTTGCTAGGTATGTATGTATGTATGTACGTAGAAACTTCTCCAAACTTTTTCATTGGGCAAATATGTATGTAGGTGGTAAACCAGTGCCATCACTTTTAACTGCCCTCGCACATGCATAAAAATCGATGCTACTTAAGCTTCTTACTTCGTTGCAATGTGTATTCTTAACACATATTCAATTGTGAACGCATGCATACACAAACACACACTTGCATATACCCTTTAACAACTGCAGCATCCGCTAACAGTAAATGCGCTGCAGTGACACAACTTCGTCTATTTTATGGACCAGTGGAGTAGAGTGTAAGCTTCCGCTGCACGCCAACTTCGACTAGGTTGCAGTCAAGAGCGACAACCCTCCACGTTTTTCTGCTTTCTTTTCTTCCTAACTTTATTACTAATATTTGTATTGTGCCATTACACTTGTCATTGCTTCTCCACTCCCTCCTATTTCTAGATGCTGCTGTTTGGCAGACCCTGTGCGTTGCAGCTGTCAATAATTTTCGCCTCAGTCTCTTTCTCGGTGATTTTTGGGCGGTTTTTTCTGTTTTTTTTTTTCTTTTGGGAGTAGCAAGAATGTAATTTTGCTTACGAGTACGCAGCAGTTGGCAGCTCTTGTTACTCTCGAAATTAGCGTTACGCAAATAAAAGCTTGCTTGTGCGTACTTGTGCTTATGAACAAAAAAATCATTGCGATGCGTTTGCATTCTATATCGTAAATATTTTATGAATTCATAAATAAGCGAATAATCTATTGAGTATCCATGAATGCGTACAATATTAGTGTTTGCCAGCATACACGCAAACAAGCACACTTACTTGTCTTAGTCAATTTCACGATACCAACGTTTATTTACCCGAATTTATTGATAACGTTTTTTTTTGCTGATAACAGCTTTTTAGCAATCATCACATCACATGCTTGCTGCCCCTACCCACATGCTTTTATCTCAGTTATCTGTTTGTTTTAAGCCCTTAATTTGAAGATTAATAGCATTTTGTTAAACTGGTATTTAAAAGTTTAAAATCGTTGTTGTATTTATCCTCTGCTTAATTCAATCTCGCTGCCATCATCGGATAGATATTTATTGCGGCATCATCATTTGATAACTTAAAAATTTAGTTTTTACAAAAGCGAATATATTTTCATTAAGAGTTTTTAACATTTTTTTGAATGGAGCCAACTTCAAATATTTTGGCGTATAAAAATATTTAGGGACTTAAGACCTTCTGGTATAATCTAATGCATTATATAAATCTCTTTTCGAGATCACTACGATATGTCGAAAAAAAAAAAGTGAAAACGAAAACTGTCCAGCTGAAATAAAAAAGGTTGATAAAAAATGCTGGAAAAATGTTGGAAAAACTTAGAAACTTATAATGTTTTGAAAACGTTTTTGAGTTTGTTTATTGGAATGTTAAAAAATAAATAGTCACTGGCATGTTTGTATCTACCAACCAAAGTACACCGGACCCGGGCTGGTATTTCCCGCTGGATTTACAAAGGTAATGCCAATTTAAAAAAAAAAAATATTAACATCCCCGCAAACCAATGTTCCCGAAATTTTAACTAAATATTTGGGAGTATTTTATTTCTGTAAGGATTTTTTACGAATATTCAAAGAAAACTATATGACTATGAAAACTATATTCTAAAAAAATCTGCTGGAAATTCTTCACATAGCAGCATTACTTTCATTGCTTTACCGATTTTCTTCCGAAATTTCGTAAAAGAATCTAAGTGTGCATAGTTAATTACATTTCAAAAAAGTTTGCCCAAAATTGGATATCTTTACGAATTCTTTAAAATTTCTCTACAATTCAAAATACTCTGAAAAAATGGTTTCCAGGGATGATCACAAAAAGTATGGACTACATGAAAATAAGCAAAGTAAAGGAGTTACGGAGCTTTAAGGCGTCTAGAGCATAGATACCACACAGACGGCTCCCAAATCCCTGAGGATTTAGCTTCGTAAACGCATGTCCCTAAAAATGTGTAAGGAGAGGCATATCCATAAAAAATGGTTTTATTTTAAAATAAAATCTTGAGCATTACTTAAATTTGTGCTTTTAATTACTATAACAAAAATGTACTGAGTAACCAAGTAAATATTTAATATACGTACTTACTTTTTTAATTTATATGCTTGGCGCACTTATTTGCCTAGCATTTGGGTTGCGAAATTAATTGTTTACTACCTCCTTAAAAACAAAGCATCACCTAAAGTGGCAGCGCAACAAAAGTTAGCCAATAAAAATTTAAGAACGCGTTTTCCTTTCCGTTAAATTTTTTTACACTACTTATCTACTGGAATTGCAATTGAATTTTGTATTTGTATTTCATTTTATTTTTAAGGAAATAAATTGTTTTAGGCCAACTACTGGAGCAATCTAAATACACACTTACTCTACAGCATACTAAGTCTTTGAATGTTTTATTTTTTTTATTTTTTTTTTGTTTCATTTCTTACTTCCCTACTCATTTTCATCCATTGTCATTTGCTATTTACAAGCTCGGAGTTCCAGCGCTATTGCTTTTTGTTCTTCCAACTAATTCTAAAGCATTCCTCTGCTTACTTCTTCAATTTTGGCCACAGTCGCCGTCACTTACCAGTAGCATTATGACTTTAGATGTAGCACTTGTCTATTCAATTTGTCCGTCCACCTAAGTAGTCTGCCAGTATTTACGGACAAATGCATGAAAATTTCAACTTGTCTTCAACAGCCTTCGCCTTCGACTGCGCTACTCTTGACCTCTATGCTCACTGCAGTGGTGAGTTACTTGTAGGTACTCGTTGTGTTGAAGAGCGGCAATAGTTATAAAATAATAAAACCAATTATATCCGTTCATTAGATCAGCTCGATTTTTTAATCACTCAATTTTTAAATCTACAATATAGATTCATATGAATCTACAGTGGCGAAAATATAAATAGGGAAGAGACATTTTAGCATTTTTTGGCTATTCATCTTTTGTTCATTTAAAACTTTATTATATATTTTTGAAAGTGTAGCTTGTTATCTAGCAAAAACCATGTAAGTAAAAATTTAAAACTTTGTAAAAAATTAGGGACATACTCAAAATTTCATCAAAATTTTTGAGCTTTTTAATTAGATTTTATGAAAATATTCTGTCTATGCAGTTTTGTAGCCCATTCAATTTTATTATAACAACATGCAGGTGTGTAGTAGCTGAGATTTACCGTTGATTTTAGGTAATTTTTTTTGTGGAGGGTGTTGCTTTTTTTCTCCGTACAAAACAGTTGTCGCGCATAATTTGTATCTATGGAAGAAAAGGCGCAAACAAAAAATTTACAAAAATCAACGGTAAGTTTTAGCTACCTCAAACTTGCACTTTATTATAGTTACTAAAATCTAATGGACTTTAAAAATCAAAACAAATTCTAAAAAATCTGATTAAAAAGTTTAAAATATTGATAAGCATGTGTTAAAATTTGTCGAATTTTTATAAACGTTCTTTTAAACGAAATTTCGATTTACAAAGTTTTGTTAAGATAGGAAGCTTTATTATAAAAAAAAAAAACAAAAATAAAAAACACATTGTCAGTTCCCTAATTACATTCTCGCCACCAATATGTACATAATTTTTCTAAGGATTTATAAATACTTCCTCATTAGTGCTAGAAAGTGATATTTAGATGTTCAGCAGATAGATAGCCTCTCTTCGTCACTCTGATAAGTGAACGCTTTTAATTATTAGAATTTTTTCACAATTCGCGTTTAATTATGAAATACATCCTTTTCACTTTTAATTGCTAAAAATAAGAGTTTTCTATTTTTAACCTTCACCAAAACGTTCCACTCTAATACGCTTACTACCAGCAACAGCATTCCACACCACTGGCGTGCTTAAACATTTTGCGGTCTCATTCAATACCAGTCGCAATGGCATAATAAAAACTTTTCCAGCCACATTTATATTTAAATTTGGACAGTCTCTCAATTATGTTTGCAATTTTTCTTTTAGTTTTTTTTTTTACGTTTTCTATTTATTTATTTTTTTTTTACCACTACTGTTGTTTTGATTTTGTAATTTTTAACTTTAGCTGTGCATATGTGTGTGTGTGTATGTACGAGTATATATGTATGTATGCGGGTGTACGAGTGCTAATGACTCCGCTCAGCTGCGCTTGTTGCTGTTACTGGCTGTGGTAATTTTAGTAAATTGTCGGTAGTGTTTTTCATTAGCAACAAGCTTGCCATACTTTTGTTATCTCAAGCTTTCGTTTCAGTTTTGATGGAAATACCAACTGCATATGCATCTATGTGTGTATGTGCACATGTATGCATAACGCTAAAAGTTGCTCTTACACCCCCCCACACGTTTGTATATTTTAAAATATGCTGTTGTGAATTTTAAGTTAATTGCTGGTATAGAAACAATTTTGTGGTAATTTTCGTTGCAATTGTTTTAAGGTAATTGTGGCAAATGAAAATGATGATTTGAAAAGTTTCTTTCAACTTTTGCTGCGTCCATTTCAAAAATGAAAATTTACTTTATCTGTAAAGAGTTTTACATGGAAATTGTTCTAATGAAATTTTACCCAGCACCAATTTCTGCTTTGGAAAAAATGCTAGCGTGTGTATTCGATTATATTACATTTTTAAAAGGCGCATAATGCACATAGTTAAAGGGACAATAATTATTTTGGAGGTACGTTTATACATAAACTTACATGGTAGATTATTAACTTGTGACCAAAATGTGGAAAATAAAATTTTATTGAAAAATGTGAATGCTTGACTAGAATTTGGTGTATTTCATGGTGTATATGTAAATAGACTATGTCTATACTAATTATATAAAGATAAGTCTTTTTTTTTGTATGTGGTAATCTCCCGAACGGCAGTTCCGATTTTCATGAAATTTTGTAAATACATAGCTTTCAGCAACCACCAATGGACCAAGGACCAATCTGTTCGAAAAAATAAAAATTCTTTTTGGTTCGGTACACTTATTACAGATATACAAAGAATACAGTTCGAAATATGTTTTTAGGCGCTGAAAAGCATGCATATACTAATTATATAAGAAGAAGTCAATTCTTTTTATAAGAGCTGACTACTTCAGACTTTCCAAGGATCAATAAAGGCTGATAATAATTTCGATATATCAAGGGAGCGTGGCATCTGCCATACAACTCGAATTTTTTATACCGCATATCTCTGGAAGTACATATTTGTGGCAGAGTCTTAGAACGTGGTTAGGAAATATTTGAAGTCAATTCCATACTCATGGCGAAAGAGCACTTAGCGCCTTCTAAACATGCCACTGTGAGTGAACTCCCCCTAAACGAACTTAGGTCCACAGCTTCAAAATGCCAGATAGCGCTGCAGTCGAGTTATTACTAAAATTCATATTTATGTTCGAATTTGGCTCATATTCGAGGTATATAAGTAGATATTGGTAACGACGGGGGCAATGCTATTGAAAAAACATAACCGGAAGGTGGCGCTGGAGTTTAAAAATGGTCAAGGGAAGTCATTCGGAGACACCAGGGAGCAAAGTCAAGTTACCCTGATTAGCTTCTCTATCTAGTTTCGAGAAGGCAGAATAAACGTTGCGTTTGTCTTTACCGATGATGTCGCTGGAATATGCCAGCAATTGTAAGCTCTAGTAAACAAGTACTTTTTATAAAAAAAAAAGACTTCAATTCTCAAAAAAAAATATTTATCCCATCTCTGAGACACTACCTTACCGATGCAAAAAGACTTATCGAAATCAGTTGACGTGGTACAAATTTATGCGGTAATATACATAGAAAATAAAACAAATAAAAAAAATATTCCGACGAACTGATAACCTTCTCCTTTTTTGGAAGTCGGTTAAAAATTTCACTTGAGCGGTTCTGTTCCGCAGCCTTGTCTAAAATCTCGCTCGGTATCCGACGGAGCGGACGACTTAAAAATATTTAAAAGAGTCACGAGTCTTTCTGACTCGATCAAACTCTAATCGGATCTCGACAATGTGGCAGCTTGGTGTAGTAGTAATCATTTGCATCTAAATATTAAAAAATATATATGTTTATATGTCGTTTTCAAAATTTCGATCACTCATCCCTACCAGCTATGATGTTGGAGTGTCTATGCTGACTTCTGTTAATGAAATATCTGATCTTGGAGTAGTTTTTGATGCTAAATTTCTTTTTCATAGTCATTTGAATTACGTTATCGCGAAATCCTATGCTACGCTTGCTTTTGTTGCTGTCACGAGCGTGTTCAAAAAGCTTTGATGCGCTTTGCTCTACGGTCGCTGCATTTTCAAAAGCCGATACCTTCCTATAATGCTAAGTGTCTGCTAATTAACTTAAAATCCTTAATTAGTCGAAGAACTATCCTTTCGTTGACATTTCTTTTTGATGTTATACGTGGTGGGATTGACTCGCCACTCTTACCAGAACGTCTTCGTTTTAACATTCCATCTAGAAGCCTTCGAAACCATGATATTTTTGTATTAGATCGAGTAAGAACAATTTATGCTTCTAATGCCCCAATTGCCAGAGCGACAAAGGAATTTAATACAAATTCTGCCGAAACTGATTTTTCATTACCTAAACCTAGGTTTAAGCAGTTACTGAATGAACCAGTTTAATTAGTAATCACATTGCAATTGTT